TTCTCAGTAAAAGGCAACCTTTTTTCATAATCATAGCACACAAATCAATATTGTTGTTCTATAGAACATGCCAAAATTAATAGTAATATCACCAGCTTTCTAATAGTAGTGCAATTTCTTCAGTGTTATTTCCAAGCTTCAGTGCTCTTCAGTATAGGAAGGTGAATAAGATGTCAATGGGATAGATTTAGAACATTTGGGGTCTGAGTTGTTTATAATATTTGCCAATTCTTGATTAAGCAGAACGATCTGCCCATGCTTTCAAGGTCAGCACAATTAGATAAGGATGTGAACAAAGGTGAAAGAGCTGCTCTTGGAGATAATGTATAAGCAGTTTAAAAATGTTTCACCTGAATTTTAGGAGTACAGATCTATGGTGCAGTGGATGAAACAGGGTATTTACTGAATCTAAGCAAGATGGGTTAGTTCAAAGAAAAGGGCAAGATACAGAAAACAATTGACTCAGTTATTGAGTAGTAAAGTCAACAAGTTACTGCTGCAGTATAGTCATATACTGTAGTCTCTTCAGCTTTTATAAATTAGAAAGGCCATGTCTGGGCCAGTACGTCACTCTGAATTTAGAAATCTGAGTAACAACTAGTTGCAGCTGGAAGTAGATTTGGAAACATGGTAAGTAGCACCATCAGTGAGTCAGTGTGAAGTCATACCATAAAAACATATGTAATCTGTGGTGGGGTACAGCCTCATCTGTCTCTGTCATGGGAAGGTACTAAATTCAGTTCTGGATAAATTTCATCTCTGGCTCATTATTTTACTCCATTATTCTGCATTTTGCCTACACAGATTCCTGCTGAGTGCTATAAAGCAATTACTGTATTTTATCCTGAAAGGATAACTACTTCTTTAGCTGTGACTTGAGAATTCTTCATTTGGATACTCACTTCACCAGGAAATGCTGGAATTATGATGCTTAACTTTAAGCTTTCAGAATTAAAGAATTGTAGCTAAGCAACAATTGTGAAGGCAGTAGTAATAACAGTAACAGAGTGGAGTATTGAGCATATTTTCCACATGATAATGTTGTCCCTATAAATTATAGGCAATGTGATTCAACCCTTTAACATTATGACTGGGCATTCTGTAATCACTGGAAACTACTTAAATAGTAAAGCATGTAAAAAGAAAGGTGATTTCCATGAAATACTGTGTTTATTTCACATAAAAGGATGTTTAAACAGACTAAATGCTGGTATGTGTGAGATCAGTTTATGAATCCGAGTGACTATGGAAGGAGAAATACAGGAACAATACAGGAGAAACTAGGAAGAAGCAAGGAAAGTGCTGGCATAAGCTGGAATCATATGGGGCTATAATACATGCTTTATACTTTATTACAGTTTTTCAATTAGCTGACTGCTGGAAAATACCCTGGTTTAGTGTGGAAGCAGCACAGTTTGTTGCTGCTGGGTGTTAGAATGCAGAGACAATTACGCCATATTGAGAGTGTTATGGACAAACAGAGCAGAACCACCCATGTAACCTTTTAATAATTAAAATTTTCTGCTTTTCTAAAATGCTTTCCAAGTGTTGCAGCAGGTTCAGGACCCTGTTCGTGTCTTGTGTGCTGAAAAAGTGTTAATGTTTTACATACTGTATATGAAAAATCTTAATTAAAAAAATACCATGAAAATGACATTGGTATCTTCCTTCTCAGTCCCCACATGGGTCTGTAAGGCATCTCATTATGATTGGCTTAAGGATAATAAATATATTGTGTAAATCAAAGAAAAACAAGTCCTTTTTAGCCACTGTTTATATCTCCAGAATTTACAGAGACTGAATCTTTGTGAGTAAGCCAAATATTTTCAGTCTTTCTCTTTCACATTGTGGTTTTTGATTCTCTGCTGTTTTCTTATTTCTAGTATAACTCTGAGACATAGCCCAAGGACACCAAAAACGTCAGGTTGTTTATATTACTGTTTCTATAAAACCTTATCCTGATTTACACCCAATAAACATCTGGCTCTAGAATGACTAATAACTGCTGTTGTCTGGGGACAGAAATAAAACAGAGCAGAGGTTTTTGTTTACATAATAAAATGCTACAGAAGAGAAAATACCAATCTGATACTCTGAAATGTCTTCTTTATGTGACAACAGGAATAGAAAATCTTGATTCAGCTGATCCACTAGATACCTAAAGTGGTATATAAGGTAGTTAGACACTCATCACTCTTCTGTCCAGTTATCATCCTTGAGTATTACCTAACATAGGAAGGATGTACCTGTGTTTTGCTATTAAGGTCTGACTGATATCCATGCTGATAATGCTAATAGTGCAGATTCAGTTACGCACTATTCATACAAAGATGCCTGCTCATGTTAAAATGTCTTTCTTATTACAATGACATAAGCCATCAAAATCTTGGAAGCTATGATATCAGTTTATGAGGCAGCATAATTTTATATTAAATACTACTGCAAAAAAATGTATATTAAGTTAGATGAAAAGGTCAAAATTGGTAAGGAAGATAGACGAAGTCATGCATAGCACAAACATTAATTATTTACAGTATTTTATACTCCTTTATTTTGTTCACTTATGAAAGCCATCATGCTGTCATTTATAATAGTCTCTTTGAGAGCTTTTAGGGTGAGGTTTTATTCAATATGAATTGGATAAATTTTGAATTGAATTGAGTTTAGAAATAAGTTTATAATTGTGACCATGGTATAACATAATATATCAACACCATCACAATGTCTGATTCTAACTCAGTAAAAGCCATAATGTAAAAAAAAATCTAAGCATCTAGGTAACTTTTTCCATCTTTATTCATAAAAACTTATACCTGGTAAGGTTCTAAAAATACCTTGCTTGAAACTTCATTGTGATAAAAAGCAATATTCATATGTGTGTAAGCAATATTCTTATATTCCAATACTTTCATATAATACGTATGTAATTCCATGCCTGTATTAAATATATTTGCAAGTTTAAAATACTGGATTTATGTAAAATCAAACCTGTAATTCTACATTTGTATTTTTTAAAAAAGAAGTGTATCCTAAGAATTCCAGACATTATTTAAAACTGATTTGAAATACAAATTTTTTAAAAAAGAAATTACCACCCTCACCAGAAAGAAATATTTTAGAGGCAAATATTTGAAAATAACAGTGTTAATATCAGAAGAAATCCAAATAGCATTGATTTAACTTGTTGTTTGTGTTTCCTCTGGTTTACTTGCGTAAGGGTGCAAGAGCAATGTTGAGTTTCTATCTGCATTACCAGAACATTAACAGAAAATGCTCATGCATTTCTTCTCTTACGTTGGTCTCTTACTAGCATCTGTAACACTAATTGTCAAATTGTCTAAGCAGACATTGAATAAAAGAGAAAAGCCATGGAACTTCCAACAGGATGGCAAAAAAAAAGCTTTTGTCCCCAACTCAAACCTGAGGACACCAAGCTGAGTGGTGTGGTTGATACCCCTGAGGGATGGGATTACATCCAGAGGGACCTGGACAAGCTCAAGAAGTGTGCGTATGGGAACCTCCTGAGGCTTAACAGGACCGAGTGCTGGTGCTGCACCTGGGTCAGGGCAACCCCCAGTACCAGCACAGGCTGGGGATGGACAGACCAGAGCAGCCCTGCCCAGAAGGACTTGGGGGTGCTGTGGGTAGAGGCTGGACATGACCCAGCCATGGGCACTCCCAGCCCAGAGAGCCAAACGTGTCCTGGGCTGCATCCAGAGCAGCGTGGGCAGCAGGGCCAGGAGGGGATTCTGCCCCTCTGCTCTGCTCTGCTGAGAGCCCACCTGCAGGGCTGCACCAGCTCTGGGGGGCCAGCACAGGAAGGGCATGGAGCTGCTGGAGTAACACCAGAGGAGGTCACCAAGATAATCAAAGGGATGGAGCACCTCTCTTATGAGGAAAGGCAAAGAGAGTCAGTGTTCAGCTTGAGAAGAGAAGCCTTTGGGGTGATCTCATTGTATCCCTCCAGTACTTAAAGGCGGCCTTGTAGGAAGGTCTGGGACAAACTTTTTAGCAGGATCTATTATGACAGGACATGGAGTAACAATTTTAAACAAAAAGAGGGTAAACTTAGGTTAAATATTATATATTAGATATAATAAATAAGTTTTTTTCAATGAAGGTGGTGAGACACTGGCATAGGCTGCCCAGAGAATTGGTAGATGTCCCACCCAGGAAACGCTGAAGGTCAGATTTGCCTGGGCTCTGAGCAACCTGATCCAGTTGAAGATGACCATGCTTGCTGCAGGACGGCTGGACTACGTGGTCTTTAAAGGTCTCTTCCAAGCCAAACTACTATCTGATTCTATGATTGTACTCTGTTTTGTATTGCTGGTGGATTCTATTAGTTAGGACAGCCTCAGGAGAAGGACATGAGACATCCTTTACTGGCTGTCTTCCCTGTCACACAGGAGTCAATTCTTCCTAAAGAAGATTGAGATATATTGGGATTTTCTTGAGGACAATATGTGTGAGCATATCTTTTCCACAGAACTCACTTCTTTAACAGAAGTTAGGCTTACATCTCCATATTTTCAATAATAATAGTAACTTCACGGACCCTGCAAATCACACAATGGAAACACTATTGTTTCAGTAAATTCTCAGTTTAGGTATAGCAGAAACACACAATTCTCTTCTTACAAACACAGAAATTTCCAGATTTAATTGAAAATTCTCTTTCAATAAATCACAGAGCTATATAACTTTTTCTTCAGAAGTTCTTTCTCTTTCCAATTTAGCATGCATAATGCTTATAAGTTTTATTCAGTGAAAATGAAAAGCTTTATGTCTCTGAGACTCATTTCTATGTAAATGAACTAACAAGCATGTGCACAGCAAAGCAGAGGCTATAAAAAGTAAAATGGAGTTTAGTTTACCAATATTTTGCAAGTGTTTTAACAGCTTGCACAATTAAGTTTGGAACTAGGGTGAATTGGATTTGTGTGTGTATTTTTATCTGTTTGATTGACAAAATTTTTCCTTTGTTTAACTCTAATTACCTTTTTGAATTCCTTTCAAGTTGGAGATTTGCATGTACTAGGCATTATGTATCACTGCCATCCTGTATTGCATGAGGATGTATCCATATGTCCAGTTGCTTGACTGTTGGAGCTGGGGAACAGAGAGAAAATATATGACATTATCAAAATCCAAACTACTGTCCAAGAAATCTAAGCCTGGAAGAAATCGCAATTCTCAGCTCCCATAATTTTGAGGGAAAATTCTTATATATGAAGAGCTATAACTTCTGTCAGGCTGAGGATGGGACTGAAACAACTTTACATGCTTCTGTGAGTGTAATCCTCTAGATTATGAGCAAATATCAAAAGCAGATTTGAGAATCTTCTTTAAATAAATATTTTCATACCCCTATTTGTAAACACACTGAAAATATGAGAATTGCATCACAGCTCTCAAGGATTTAGGCTATGTAGCAGCTTAAGATAGATTCCTCATAACCAAATATAGATGCCTATGCATGACAGAATCATGCAGACTTGTCACAATTGAACAAAAAAGAAGAACATCTCATCCTATGTATACACTTCTGAAATGAACTGGAAAACTCTTTTCGAAACTTTTATATTTTGCTCTTGAAACAGCAAGTGACTAGCTTGGATGGAACATCTGTACAGCAGATGTCTGAAGTCCAGTGAGGTTAATCCACACTTATTTCTACATATCACAGAGGCTTAGGTATAAGAAATACTCATCTGTTTGTACTGGCACAATATTAAACTTGTGCCAAAAGTAGAATCTATAGAAAGAATATAACTTTAAGGTCAAGTAATATTAGGCACTTCTGTTCTCACATGGGTAAGCAAGTGTTTTCTTGCCACATAAGCAAGCAGAAGTTTTTGATTGCAGCCCTTTTAATCCACTCCATGCTTTGCCATAGGCACTTTTCTGGATACAATTCTGAATCTCCTGTGAAGTTTTTGATTATGTTTTTATCATCTCATCATTAATATGAAGAAAGAGCATTTTTCTTATGGTAAATATCACTATTACTGTATTAGTAAAACAAAAAAGTCTAGCAGATTAAGAATTAGCTGATAGATATAAAAATTGTATCTTTCCAAATGCAACCTAAATGTGTTCCTATATAAAGCCCAGTGATAACTTCTTTGACTGACTTAAAGATTGACTCAATGGCAAGTATGGAAATGGAAAAAAAACATAGCATAAAAAATTAAATTTTTAAAATTGTGGACTAAAATAATTAGAAAAAATGTTCAATGAAAACATCTAAAATCACATACCTAACCATAAGAAATATAAGCCACATCTACTGCAGCCTGAAATAGTGGCTCAGAAATTGTTCATATTCATAATGGGTAGATAATTCAACAACAGCTCTCAAAATAAGGCAATAACACAAAGCAATACTATAATATTGAATTTGTAAATAGAGACATGAGTAGGGATAGGAACATTTATCCCTGTAGTTGGGAAAGATTGTATTAAAATGCTTTATGTAGTATTAGTGTTTGCATTTCAAAGTGGACACCAATAGAAATACAGAGAATTAAAAAAAATATTCCACAGCAATAAATAAAAAGAGAAAAATCTGTGTAGTTTATTGAAGAGTTTTGAGAGTTGGCATGGTTACATGGTATAAGTGTGGAGGGAGAAAGATGAATAGCAAAGGACTATGTGGTATAACAAGGGGAAACCATAAAAAATTTCAGTAGATCATGCCAGACATATTGAAACTAAAAATGAGTAGAGAAGAGTCAATTAACACCTGGAACAAACTAGTAAAGAGAATGCTGAATTCAGTGTCTCTTGAGGGTTTCAGTTCAAGACTCTCAATCTTTGTAGAAGATAGGTGCCGGTGAAGTGCAAGGTAGAGTGGAGAAACTTAGAGGTCTCTGCTGTGTATATTGTCAGGTTAGATGCTGGAAAAGGTTCCTTCTGATTTTAACCTAATGAAATCTGTGAATCTAGTTAAACGTACCTAAAGCAAGGGATAAGAACGTGTTCCTGAGAGAAACACATCTAAATTTTTACCCTGACAAGATTCCTTTCACATGTGTTGTGTCACAACTGGCCTAATCTATCACAAAAGCTGAGATAATAAAGCTTTAGAGTTGTGTGAGGGACTGGAGACACTTGTAATTGGGAAATTACATATTTTAAAACTCACAGGCCTTTTGAAGGGAATTTCATGGTTTGCAAATCTGGCTTTGAGACACAAAGGGAAAAGTTCTCTATTCCAAAAAAGTTGTTCCTGATACTGAATTCCGCAGTCCCATCTTTTTGAGATGGGAAGAGAGAGTATAAGCTGTATAAGGGAAGAGTTTGCTATTCAGAATTCCCATCATCTAAAACTTGTCTAGTCAGTTTTTAGAGCTACCAGCTGGAGTCCTTTTATCTGTCGTAATTTCATGTTATGGTATAAAATGGGAGGGAAAGAGAGCAGAGGTAGTTAGATGTCAGTAGGGCAAACTGAAGATAGCAAACAGAATTTTGTATTGTATTGTACAATTTTGTATTGTACAATTTTTTGTACTGATAACATATGGAAAAGTCTGGGAGGGTGCAGTGACCAAGGAGACTGTGTGTTTTGCAGAAGTCTTATTAATTTTCAAAGCTTGAAATGAAACAAAATGCTTGACAGGGGCACTTACCATTATGAAACTGGGAAGCATGATTCAAAGATGAAGGGAAAGGACAGAGTTTTGACTGTGTCTTTCCAGATGGAGGATCAAAGTCCTTGCTCCAGTATGTATGGTCCAAGTCCTGCATTGCTTTTGGGAGGAACTGACTCTTCAGGAATCTGCATCCCTCTTGGGAAAAAAAAAGAAAACATCTCAGTTTGTTGATGGTGGGCCTTAGTTCAGGAAGGAAGAGATAATGGTATTTTTCAGATTTATCTGCTGTATGACTTTTTAATTTGTCCTGAAATAAGGCTGCAGTCCTTGCTATAGCACATATATAAGTGATTCAGTGACCATTGTGCTTGTACATGGCAGAAAATAGCATAATATCTTTAACTGAAAAATTGATCCCAGTGCCAGGGAGAGTGTGTTTGAGGAGCTGTTAGCAGCACAGAATTCTTTAGTTTATTCATGTATGTCCAATTGCATATATATAATAAATACATGTAAATAAGCACATAAAACATTTTAGTATTTTCTTAAAAATAATTCTACAATAGAAATGTTCATAATTTTAATCATATAGGACACTATATATAAATAACAGAAAAGTGTGTAAGAGATGTGTGAACAACATCTGCTGGGTACACAACTATGTAAACAGAAAATATCAAAGCCCATTTAAATTTTGTTTCTTATTTGAAAAAGTGGTTGGCATATTTTTTGTTGAATCTCTCACTAAATGATGTTTAAAAATTTAGCATGAATAAATATTTTACTAGAGCTTCTGAGAAATATTAGTTGCTAAATTGATGAAAAAATTCCACAATGGACTTATTAAATACATCTAAAACTACATATTATTTCAGGGAAGGCAAATACCAATTCTGATTGCTCTTTATGGTGTTTTCAAACATAGATTAAAGGCAAACAAACATATTTCATGCTAATAAAGCTTCAAAGCAATTTACAGTTCACCTTAAAATGGAAAATATTTAGCTTTTTTAGTTAATATTTTGTGCTTCCATTTTAGAATCATACCTGACTAGAAAGTGTATAGGGGCCTTTACTTGAAATTTAACCTACATGCAATGCTGATTTTTGTATTAGAAATTTATCTATACTTTAAGTGATGCTAGAAAATACTTTGAAAAAATGTTTTCTATTTTAGTTAAAATTCTCTGGGAAACAGGAAAGTTAAATTGAAAGATGTAATACTGAAAACAATCCAAACCCTACTGAAACCTAAGGAATAGTAATAAAAGTTGTTTCTACTGCTTCATCTTCAGAATAAAGTTAGAAAATGATTATAGGGAAAAATAGATTAATAGATAATATTCTAAAGTAAAAAAAGGCCTTAAATCTGATAAGCAGTTTATCTTAATATAAGCACTATTTCATATCATTGTAAAACAGATATTTTGTTGAATTTTGAAAGTAATTTTACAATAGGGTTTTGATGCTAATCAATTCAATGAACAGAGTCCCAGTAAATTTTACTATTGCTCAATAAAATTTGGATTTTATTCTGAGTTCTGAGAACCATTGTGTAGAAGAGACATTCAAGATATGAGTAAGCAGTTTAAACTTGACTATGGTAATGTCAGTAGTCTTTATTTTATCTTAAAAGTTGTTTACCAGAACTGTGACCATATTTCTCAATTTCTGTGCTTAATCTGCAGCAACTTTAAATATAACCAAGGGGTACAGATGAAGTATATTTGTGTACTTGCACAAATGCTGAACAGTGTCCTTTCTGCTGCTATTCACACAAAGGACGTAGATTTTCATTTGCCACTTTGTATGGCAAAACCTGCTCAATTTAAATATTGACTGGATTCTGTTGTTATTATGGTAAGTCATCATAAATATAAGTTTCCTTTTCTTTGGTACTAATAATTTAGTTTTGGTGGTTAATTTTTAGCTGGATTAGCTTCCTAAAAGAGCTCACTCACTAGTCTCAAAAATGTGAATATTAACAGAGTGGAGAGAGAGAAAGCAAAGAGGCTCAGAGTAATGAAGGATAATTGTATCATAGAGTGTTGGATATAGGTGACATTAAGCTGAGATGGAATTACATGCTTTATTTCCTGTACTTAACAGAACTAATCTCTGATTCCATGTCAACACCCAGCATGTGAGGACAGCTTGCCTTTTGCATAGTGTAGATTATACATGACAATGACTTTTAGATTAGGTGTTCTGTCATACAATTATTTTTCCTCATGTTAGAAAAACAAATATTTACAACAGGAGAAGCAGTTTTTCAGCCCCCTGTGTCTTTTAGCTAAGAAGAAAGGGGCGAGGAAGTTACTTCTTTATTTTCCTTTATTTCTCATGACAGTGTACATTTTTGAGTAAAATTGAATTGGCTTCAGTGAAATACTTCAAGTCTTGGAAAATTGAATACTTCACATCTCATAAATTACCCCTCTGATCTGAAATAATTATATAACTATTTATTAAAAAATAATGAATGTGGTAGGTTCTTGGATATAGGGCCATGTATAGATGATAATAATTCCAAGATCTTGATATAGCCAGATAAAGAGTAATTAAGAAAGTTCCTCTGCTCTTTCTGCTTCTTCATGATTAAAGAAATGATCTGTACATTGATAGAACATTATTCTAATAATTTTTACTTTGGTCAGCCAAAATAGGTAATGAGATTTAAAAATTTCTACTTTCTATCAGAGTGAATGAGTGGTATGTTATCAGTACAACATCACATCATTTTGTAAAGCTATTAATATGAGAAAATTACTTCAGTAGAATAGAGCATGCAAGACCTTGCTTTTCTGTTTCATAGGATCATACAGTACCAAAATATAATGTAAAATTAGATCAGAGCTTTTAAGCAGCAAAAGGCACATTTGTCCATTGACCCTGAGACTAATTCAATTGGTTAGGGCTGGGTGCTAATAACACCAGGGTTGTGCATTCCATCCCAGTACTAACCTTGCACTTAGGAATTGGACTTGATGATCCTTGAGGGTCCTTTGCAACACAGAATATTTTTTGATTCTGTAATTAATTCTGCAATTTCAGGATAAATTAAACTTCCTCAGAATTAACTCAGCTTTATGGTCCTATTTCACAATACTGTGCATATATATATATTTTTTTTTTTTTTTAGATATCAATACAGAGACAACAGTACTGGCACCATTAAGCTTTCATGGAAGGAATACATAAAAGTCCTTTTGTTTATTTTGCTTGACCTTACAACAGATGACCATCTGGATAACTACTGTGCATGGTGCCAAAAACGCTGTTAACCCCTGGAATAAATAAATAAATGTAATTTAAATGAAAATCTTCCAAGAGTGTATAATCATAGGTCTCAGAGTCAAATCTACAAATACAGGTCAAATATTGATTGTCAAGAAGCTTATCTTGCCTAATTGTCTTGTGCTAGGAGGGAGAACACCCCCACTGCTTGATGTTCCTCACTCACTTTATGCTCAGTGCACTTTATGCTCAGTTTTATCTAACTTTTGCCTGACTGAGGAGGTAGGGTGGATGTTTTCTGTCACTGCTATATTATGGGCAGATGATATAAACAGTAATTCAATCTCTGGTCTCATTTTGCTCATCAAGACAGTTCAATTCTCATGATTTCAGCTGGAATAGTGAGTCCTTGAAACCATTGAAAACCAGGCCATAATCTATCTGAACCTTGTCTGCTTCTCTGAAACAATAAAACAAGTTAAAGTCAATGGTGCTGGTTCAGGGATAAACTGCAGCTTTACAAAACTCCAGTATTGTAGCTGAAGGACTAGATGGAATTTATGATCTCAAAGGTCCTTTCCAATCTAGGTGATTCTGTGATTCTGTGAAGTGCTGTAAAACTGTAAAATGTATTAAAATGCATTTGTCTTGATGTCTTTTGCAATTTTACTTGTACTATCCAGTTTTTCCTGTTCATTTTTTTTTTCTGGGAATGGAATTAGCAATTACTGTCCTCTTTGAACACTGCTTTTTCCTGCATTTTTTTGCAGTTCAGTTGGAAAATGCAGTTTTTCAGCAAAAAACTAGTTGTTCCCTTATATTTAATAGAGTAATCTATAAAAAGTAAAGATGTATGGAACGAATTTGTCTTTATTTTGCTTTCACTGTCTAATAATCATAGAATACCTAGTTGGAAGGAACCTCAAGGTTCCTTTCTTCCAACCTTTCTCCCTAAAAAGATGGTGTAGACAAGACGGTCCAGCACCCTGTCTGGCTGAATCTTAACAGTGCCCAATTTCAGGGAACTCATCACTCCCTTGGGAGATTATTCCAGTGGCTGATTGTTGTCTTTGTGGAAATTTTCCCTCTTGTGACCAGCCACAATCTCTCTGGGAGTAACTCATGGCTCCCTCTCAGGCCATCAAATGGGTGCCTCAGTGCCCCTTAACAGAGTCACTATTCTGCCCTATCTGTTGTGTGCTACTGCTGCAGCTTCTCCTTGCACACCTTGCTTGAGGGTGTCTACAGCTGCTGAAGCTTCATATCTGTTTTTGGTTGCAATGCTGGAGGGTGCGGACAGAAGCAGAGTCCTACTTCTGTGGGTAGCACATTTCTCTACACTTTCTAATCTAAGAAAAAACCCCAAGACTCAGAAAAAGCCTCCTAAGGCATTAGATATCAGTTGTCATGAAAACTGTTGTCCCTACTTCAGTCTCAGGGAGCCCACAGATTACTTAGTGACAATACAGTGAAGCTTTTGAAAGATATTTGCTTTCACTGAATGGCACTTCTGAATTTTCTTAAAATCTGTTTCCTTTATGAAGTCTTAAGTTGGTCCATACATATTTGATCTTAGTGGTTTTATTGGTTGTATTGCTTGTTGATAAAAGAATAAAGGCTTTAGACTGCAATCAACTAGTCTTTAATCTCCCTTACTCAACTGTTACAATGTGTTCAATATTGATTAAAGCAGTTTTTATTTCATATTCAAATTCTTTCTTCATGTGAAATCTGTTTTGAAAATGAGCAAAGAAACCAAGCTGCTAGAAACAAACCTGAATTTTCCAGCAAAACTATGATTAGAGAAAGATTTTGTGAAAATCTTACTCCCTGAAAAGCAATTTTTTTTTTGCTCACAAGCTTGAAGTTATTCCTGATATTTCTTCTGACAATATCTCAGATTGTTACTTCTGACTATACATCTTATCATTTGGATACTTGTAATGCATAACTGGAGGGTGGTGGTAAAAAAACCCAACAGTTTTAATCAAGGGAGGATTATAATTTTCTGCAACACCTGTTCCAACCAGATGCCTCTGAATGTGGTTCTCTGAGTTCTCACAAATTGCACAATGAAATATTTTTGAAATGAATGGCCAATCCATTGTAGTTTTGCCAGAGTAAGTCCTGAATAACAAAACAGCAAAAATTTTGAAATATATGTTCAGGCTACTGCAGAAAAAAATAAGAGGACAATCTTGATAAAGAAAAATGAAGCAGTCATTTTGGAAGTCTGAAAATTTTTCTTGCTCTAAGACATTAGAGCAGCTATTCTCACCCATGAGGACTCTCTAGAGAAAGGATTTTATTTATAACTGAGTCCTGCTACTACCTGATTTTTTAGTTTTTAATGATTTTTAATTATTTCTTCCTGAAACTTTCTTCCTAGAGGTATGACTCCCATTGTTTTGTATCTTCATAAATAAAGACTCTGTATCTGGAGAGCAGAAACAGCATACCTGGCTAAAATAAGGATGAAAAGCAGCAGATAATGGAGAGAGCAGAGTGCAGGGTAGATTCTTCTAAAATCTTAGATTTGTGTGATAAAATAACCTCATTCTTTTTTTGTGCCCCCTGTTTATTTCCAGACAGAATACTCCCTTTTAAATTATTTTTTCCTCTCATGGGTCCCCAGGTTTCAGTTTTCCTTTGAAAGACACAATAAAATACCACAGTAGATTTAGCATGGCTTCTGAAGTAATTATGAAGTGCTGCAGGAGGATAACTACAGAGATTGGTTATTTGCTTCAGATACTGGAAAGTTCAGACACTTCAATCTAGTGATCTGAAGTCCCAACAAAAGCTCCAGTGTTATTTCTTGATATAGAAAGGATCTAGGAGAATCTTCTTGATCTTGCTGAGAAAAATTTTACCTGACTTTCCTGAACCTCCTCTGTAAAAGCCTGAATGGGCCAGGAAATTTTAAAGGCTCAGTGTGATCCTTTCTGAAGGATCTTTTGCATTCTAATTGCTTGAGTTGAACTAGCAACACAACCAGACAATGGAAAACAGCTCTGAAGGATTCAATCCTTCTGACAAAAACAAAAAACCCTGCCTTAGACCAAATCTTGAAAATAATTTAGAAAAGTGAACTGAAAGCATCAAAAGTGATGAAAAACACAGCAAAACTATGTGTTTCAAACTTTGTTTATAATGACTTATAGATTTCTAGGGACCGCTGTTCTAATTTAATTTGCTACTTTTATTTTGAAACATTTGGAATTAGTGTGTTTAAAAACATAAATATAATTCTGGACACAACAAAAAGTTAAATAGGAATTACCAGATGACAGGATAGAGATTAGTAATGTTTTAGAAATCTCAGAGTAAATATTCTAGCTTCTGGTACTTGCTATGCAGAGATGACACTGTGCAGCCTGAACAAAAGCAAGGATTTTAAAGAGAAAGCTAGATTTAATCTTATGTAAATCTGATGGAGGTAGCACAGGGTGCTAAGTCAAACGACTGCAGGAAATGAATATTGTGGACACCTTTCAATAGATCTTGATGACAAATGTTTTCATTTAACAATACACTTGTAATTTGCCTGGTAGTACTTTTGCCAAATGTAAAGATGTATGAAATTAGTGGGATAATAATACCATCCTCTGAGACTTGTAATGGAAGAAAGATCTCAGGCACTGTCTTGAAATTCTGAGCAGCAGCAAGGCACTTCTCATGCAGGAGTCGCTTAGGCGTAAAGAGAAATTGCAGCAGGGAGGAATGAAATGAAGGCAAACAGACAGCTAGTACCTGATGCTCTGAGCAAATACAGTGTGTAAGCAGGAGCTTGGCTCTGCAGTGGTACAGCTCAGGAGGCAGGGAAAGCATCGCTGAGCTTTCTGTAGGAAGCTGCAGCGCAGTGCTTTGTTACTCTTGTCACAACCTACTCAGGTGAAGTGAGCCGAGGGGAGCAGGTGCAGCAGGGTGATGGGCCAAGCAAGGAGGCTGTGCCTTGAATACATCATGAGGCATTGAGCAGCTGCCTTTGAGAAACAGCCTTTTCAACAGAAACTTTGAAAGCATTTCTTTCAGAGGCTGTGCTACACAGCTGCCCTTACTCCCATTTTCTGCAGCACAATCAAGAACACATCGTACTGTTGACAGTAGAAATGCCTAAACACTCTAAAAATTACTCATATATATATATATATACATACATATATATATATATATATATATACAGTCACTGTAAGCCCTGTAAATATATATAGTGTAGATTTCATTTATCCCTCTATCATAAGAAGTATTTGTTTTCTCCTCAGTTTTTAAAATTTACCAGAGGAATATTTGGGTGATCAATTATGTCCTAGTTTCCCACAGTTTATGCAGGTTTCTTACTCTACAAAATTAGTAAACCCATAAAACCAGATTGTGAATCTCCTTTCACTGAGAATCAGTTTGTTTTTTTTTTATTAAGGGTCTGTCTCTGTTCAAGGAAATCCTGCTGGGTATCCTTAAGCCCCACTGACTTCAAACCCAGCATATACTCAAGTGTTTTCTTGAACAGAAGCCAACACTGGCTCTAACATGACATCTAATTGCTTACTAGTATGAAAAAATAGTTCACAATCCATCTGAAGTTTCCAGTGGTGATTATTTGACTTTTTGCACTTCCTACAGCAAGGCTTACAGAGCTTGCAAGATCAAGCCCCTTTAGCTATACCATTCTTCTCAGGTCCCTGCTCCTCACAGAGATCAAGGAAGCCAGCTTTAAAGACTTTGAAAGGTACAGCTGCAGTGAACATATCTCCTGATATGAGGATATGTTTTGTTACATAATCTCTTACTACTGTGAAAATTGAAAATACAATATACATTTTCTCCAGCCTAGGAAGGTATGATTTTATTGGTTTAATCCCAATTTAAAGTGAAATGTTTCATGTGAAGGTAGTAATTTGTGATTTAATAATTTTGACTTAATGGTTAATAATGCATTTTGGTTTGTAGCTCTGCCTTTTATAAATGAGAGACAGATCCTTTTTTTTACAGATGGAACTTATTCTGTATATTGCACAAAGTAAGTTTGGGGAGCAAAATTTTCCCTGTATTTTCTTTTCTTGTCTTATTTTGTAAATTAATATGAGGTTAACAAAGATGCTCACAAATTCCCATTTCTAATTATTCAGTTACTAGAATCATTATCTTCCTGTGAGACTAATGAGCTAACAATGCATTGAATTTTCTTCCATTAGATATTTGTGTTGGTGTTTCTGTAGTTTGAGTAAATTCTATTTGGCATCTGTTCAAAACAGACTTACTCCAAAGTATAAATTATATAGGGCTTTGTTTTGTTTTAAGGACTGTTTTCTTTTTTTCTTGTTGCTGTTAAGTCTGTCTGATTTGTAGAAGATTAATGAAATTTAATAGTTTAGTTTTAATATTCTGCCTTCTTTTATGTTATAGCTTGAGAATGTCTATTCAGTGAAGAATTATGGTATGTTTTCTTTTTCTTTGACCAGAAATAGTTAAATATGTATTTTATGGCACTGTTAGGAATTTGAAAGATCAAGGTGGTGTGTGCAATGAGCCAGGTGAAAATTCAGTTTACCTCCAAAGAAGTATTCACTCCTTAGGCTGAGATTTCTACTTGATAGTATGCAAAACTGTGGTTTTTGAAACATAGTCCAAAACCTTTAGAATAGCTGTGCAACTCTTTGACTGAAAGACTAACAGAGCTAGGATTTCCATTAATCCCCTTCGTATGAATGACAGGTTTTGCACACACTGAAGTGACACAGAAACAGATCACAAAGTATGAATGGGTAGTGACACCCTCTCTTTATGCTTGGTTTATCTGTTGGCAAGCACAGCCAGGGAGGTGTTTCACAGAAGGGCTAATGTGACTGAAAATATGTCTTTTTCCAAAACTACTAGTTTGCCAATTAAAATACTTTCTCCTTGCATATATTGATACTTTTTTATACTTTCATTGTCACCACTATAAAGCCTTTGTGTGTTTAGGTATGAATCAATTCCCTTTGATTTCTGTAAGGAAATGATCAAATTAGAGCAGAAAGTACTTTTGAAAATTCCTCATTATTTTGTAACTTGACTTCTTGTGGAAACTATGCAAAGACAAACTCACTTCTATGGATGAGTCTTTTACATTTGAACTTAATGAAGGATTTTCTACATTTTTAGCAGGGTGGTTATAGTGTCAAGGGTAATGGTGTTCTTATTAATTTTTGGTAATATGTGGCCAAGCAGATTAGACAGACCATGTCAGTTTCTTGTCTGAAGAAAAGTTTTCAGACACCCTAGCAAAAAGAAGCACAGATCCCCTGAAAAAAGTTTCAATCAGACCTAGCTCTTTGAATAGGAAATTCACTCAAAGCCAAGTTACTAATGCATGTAAAATGTTTTTTTATTTGTTCTTGAATTGATGAACAGTTTGATTTGCTTTTTCAAGGGGACATATTAGACAAGTATGGTTGTTATAAATATTTTGTCTACAGAACTATAGCAGAATTCATAGCAACACTCAGGACCTACTGAAAGAGCAGAGAAAAAATGATCTTCATAAAAAAACAAGTAAGTACAAATGACAGTATATTTGCAAATATGTCCTTACTGCTTATGAATTCAGAACATATCCAAATTCTGTCTATTTGTTGATTTTATACAATTTTGCATAGGTTCAAAATGGCATTACACTGACTAATTATCTTTAATCAGTACTCTAGCTTTAGTTCTGTCATTTGCTATGTAAATATCATTAATCTTGTCATCAACCTAACACTTTTTTCTTCAGCTACAGAAGGTCACAACTTCAGTTGAAATTGATTCTAATCTTGATTTGGAAGTCTAGTATTTAATATGTATAGAATAGATGTTAGACAAAAAAAGATCTCTAATATTTTCTTTTTTACACACCATTTTGAAATTTAATTTAGGAATTCTAAAACTAATGCTTTTCCCAAATTTCTTGAAAGAAATCCTTCTGAAAAGATGTTTGACTTGATGGTTCATCTCCATGCAAACTACTGTAACAACTATGTTTTCATTTAAATATACAGGGAAGAAGAAAGTAATCCTCCTTATGTCTTTTCCTCTGCCAACAGTAATGACTCGGCATTTCCCACCACCTGGGAAATGGCAAAACAAAATTCTCTCTTCAGTCTGCCTTTAGATGCTTTATTACCAAATGCCCAAGAAACTACTGGGTGAAATCTCACAAATTTTATAAGAAAATGGTGGCAGGAAGAAGATCTGTGTTAGTGCTATTGAGTACAATACATTTCAGCAATCATTGTGTTAATTTCTGGTAGGTCACTTTCCTATCATAGTTGCTTCATTTTACAGAAAAAATAGTTACGGTATTTGAAGAAAGGAAAGATCTAATGAAATTGTTGCTACAGCTTTGTTAAAGTACTAAGTAGATTAAATTACATTGCCATATATAGTATTAAACTGACATTAGATTTAATCTTAGCTAAAAGGCCAGGGAGAATAGGGTGCTTGAAGTGAAACTCCAAATAAAGAAATATATTATTCTCATTTTGATAAAATTAATTTTATTCCTTCTGTCTTTATATAGAAATATGTAACTATGCAACAGTGAGCACAACTGCAGCTAATATTTGTGTGACCTTCAATATTATGGTAATTTATTTAAATGTTCTTTGTTAATTAAACTATTTCACATAAAAGGCAACTAACTTTTACCAATTAATTATATCTTTGAAATTTTGGAGTGATCAATTATCATAATCAACAAACATTACAGAAATAAAATAACAAATGAGTTTGAAATGCCAAGTGGCCTGTTTTTGGCTTGTTTTTTAGTTCTAATTTACAGGAATAACTATTTTTAAAATGAAAACAAATTTATGTGTTGTTCAGTTCTACATAAAATAATAATAGAATCTTCAATAACAAGGAAAGTATTTTCAAAAATCTTACCCACTACAAGTTTCATAAAGTGTGTGCAATACTGTCATGGTTAGGTACTCTCCAGTTTAGCACTCCCACTAAAAAGACCACCTGTCACTCCCATCTCTACTTTCAACAGGAGATACAAAAAGCATGGATCAGGGGTTGAGATAAGGATGATTTACTTGAAATAGCAATGAGATAAGAAAAAGAAGAGTAACAGCAACAATATTAATAACAAGAGCTATAAAACAAATAAAAAAATTAACACATAAAGTAAAATTCCAGACTGTTCCACCCAGAAGGAGCAACCTTCCCTGTGGAAGCCAGAGTCCCTTCCTCCCAGCCCTGCAATGATATAAGGTGTCATAGAATAACACCTGGACCCTGGCCACGCCCATTCACCCACACCCCCTCCTGGCTACTGAAAAAAATTTACCCTGTTGAGGCTGAAATCAGACAGCTACATATCTAATGGTTAGGGGAATGTTCCACCTTTACAGCTGTCAAGAACTCTCTGAGATTACTATTAGGTGACTTGAATGAAGCTTCTTGATGGTTTGCCTCAAACAAGGAAAAAACCCCATGTCCTGGTTTGTAAGATAAGCTTGTATTCTATTTGCCATCTGTTGGAGGTTGGGCAGGTTTGTTATCTCTTCCAAGAACAATGGTTTGCTCCGAAGAGGTAATGGTTTGTTAATGGGCCATTGACTGACTCACTGCAGGCCTGGTAACATTACACCATCCCATTGTGAGATGCTCCACCCAGAGGGGGAAGCCAAGCACTCTTGTATTGTATAAAGGGGTAGCTTTTGGGGAGACAGAGCAGCTCTCTCTCTCTTTGCGGGATTTCCCAGAGAAGCAGCTCCTTCAGCGGGATTCCCAGAGGAGCAGCTCCTTCGGTGGGATTCCCAGAGAAGTGGCCCCTTCGCTGGATTCCGGAAGACCGGCCCAACTGCCACCAGATCTTCAGAGAAAACTATACCTTCTAAATATCACCACTTCAGCTGCAATTCATCAGCCACTGCAAGAGGACAGCTGTCATTTTAACTGGACTGCTACCAACACCCCGAATCCTCAGGGTGTTAGGTTGTGGACTTTATCACTAGTTCTGTTTGTACCAATTGCATTTGCCTTTTTAAATTGTTATTTAGTTTCTCCTAGTAAAGAACTGTTACTCCCATTCCCATATCTTTGCCTGAGAGACTTTTAATTTAAAAATCCTGGTAATTCGGAGGGAGGGGGTTTACCTTCTCCATTGCACAGGAGGCTTTTGCCCTCCTTCACAGACTCCTGTCTTGTCAAACCAAGACACCCCAGAAATATTTGTCTATTCAGTATGTTCAAAAGTGAACAACTGTTGCAAGCTAAAGGTAACAATATATGATCAAAATATGAAAAATATCAGAAAATGCTCTGTTGCCTTAAGACATTCAATGTTTTTCAATAGTTAGACAACTTGTTGGATAGTTTTTATTACATCCCAAATACTTCAAAACAAGTTTTGAAGGAATTTAAGAGTCTCAAAATTTTATTGGCAATGGATTTCAACAGCATAAACTTTTTTTTTTTTATTTATTTATTTTTTTAGCAGCCACAGGATAAAATACAGTAGCTATTTTTTTCATTGTCTATGCTGTCACTGTCATGGAGCACATTCCAGAACGAGAGAAGAGGGAAATAACAGTCCACTGATGAACAATTACAACATGCCTAGTTAGAAGTCTGCAAATGGGTGCAAAAATCTGGAAGGTCTGGTTAATCTTATGCAAAACCTAACCATGAGGTGCCCAACCATGTGCTCTAGATAGCACGAGGTAGGAAAATAGATTTTCATTTTTTAGGAAAAACTGTGACAGTCCTTCCCTTCCCTTCCCTTCCCTTCCCTTCCCTTCCCTTCCCTTCCCTTCCCTTCCCTTCCCTTCCCTTCCCTTCCCTTCCCTTCCCNGTGTAAAGTTAAATGTATGCCTTAAGTCCCTCTTGGAAAATAATTTGGCTGCTTTTCTTCTCCCTTCCCAGCTGTGTACATATTGTAAATAAATTTGTACTCTGAAGCCATAGTGCTTATGTCCAACAGCCTTTTCCCTTCCCTTCCCTTCCCTTCCCTTCCCTCCCACTTTACTTGCACTTCTTTTTTTGCACTTCTTATCTTCACAAAATAGAGCTCAAAATTTAATGCATAACAGATTCTCTAATTTTTTTTTCCCTCTACAGTGCCATCCATCGTCATATTTCTGACTACTTTACAGGTTGAACAGACAAGGTCAACAGGATCCCTCTGAGGAATTAAGTTTTCTTAGTGAGAATGTTTGGGAGATCTTGTATTTGTACTTGGAAACTGTAGATGTTGGAAGATTGCAAAGGCAATACCAAGAGTGGTGATGTGTAATGTGTAATGTTATGTGTTTGAGTTTCTTTTCAAGTATGTGTGGAGGGACACATTTAAAGAAAAATAAGTATAAAATTTACTCAGTATTTTAAGTGTGTTTTTATGGATATTTTTCTTTTTGAAAAGCTGTAATGTTAAATTTTTGACTAAGAATAGAACAGCCATCTAGGTCCCACTCTGGATGAAGAATATGACATTTTGTGTTTATAGTTTGATGATGACAAGGAAGCAGAGCTGACATGACCATGACTGATGAAATAAAATGCATTATTCAAACACCTCCAAAATTTGAAAAACTTTTAAATGGCAAGAATTTTAGAATCAAAAGGAGGTATGCAGAGTGCACAGTGAGTATGACATTGCAGCTACTTTATGATCAAGAGGTTCTAGCTAGTAGCCATTGTAGGCTAATCCTTACATTAATTAAAAAAGAAGTAAAATCTTGTCAAATAAGCAAAACCACGAAAGAGAGCTGCCTAACACTTAGCTCACTTCTTGAAATTAAATATTGTGGCTCAAGATCCCTTTTTTTAAACACAGATTTTTGTGGGTGATCAATGAAGGCTGAGTGCTTTGATCATGTCCTCTTTACTGTGCCCACTCTTCATGTCAGAGATGAAGGGCAGGGAATTGTTATGCTTTGGCAGTTCTGTGCCACCCCAAGTTGCTCCTATTCAGGGAAATGCCCTGACTGGATGTTTAAGCTGACTTCTACCCTCATTTACATCAACACAAAAAATACCAGAGATTCTGGTGTCAGAGTCTTTTTCTCCTTCAAATGGAAAATCAAACAGCATGACTGAACTTGGAAGACTGAGCAAGCAGCTTCATCTGAATAAAGAAGGACAAAAAGGGAAGAGAAAGTAGTTGATGCAAAAGCATGTTTTTGTATTTGTGCTTTGCACTTTGACTCCAGTGGAACCAGATATCCTTCTGAGCCTGACCTGGGAAAAATAGTCCCTATGTCATGTGTCCTATAAAAGGCTCAGCAAAGCCTTCCATTGCTCTGAAAGTGTAGCATTTTAAATAAATTGCTTTTCAATTGAAAGGAGGGCTAAGGCATTCAGACACTTCTCTGGTTCTTAAATATTCTTTGTGGGCAGTTATTTTTATATAAATATATTTAGTAGCTTACACATATTAATGTTTTTTTTAAATGTAAGGGTATGTGATTTTATATGTTCATTGTTATATTATTTTATTGTTTTATTTATATACATAATTTTATGTATCTTTCTATGTATCTACATTTGTATTTATTTCTTCCTTTACATAAAAACAATAAAGAAACCACTCTAATTGGATTGTAGTCAGAAGTTACAATGTTCAAATACTAATGAAGAGGTTATTTCTTGCCCTGCCCCTGCAGACATTTCATCTTTTTAAGATGAAAACACATATCTTTCCAGATCATCCAAAAAAGATTAACTGAGTGAATGAGAAAATATCTGAAAGAAAAGGCATATTAAAAAAGCTGATTTTTGCTGGTTTGATTTTATTTTTATCTTTAAATAAAAATATCTGCATGATACATTTTTTTGTTCTTTTTATCTGCCGACTGAAAGTGACAGAAAACTTTCCAAGTTATTAGAAAATATTTATTTTTTGAACTGAATAAATGTACATTTTTTATTTTCAGGAGGTTATTACTGGTCTGATGATACCTGGTATATTTGGAAGACTGGTGTAAAATGTAACCCCTGCACAGCCATTCATCTGTCCTCTCTAAGGTGACCAACATGACGACTGGACCGTGCTGTTGCAGAAGGGCTGGGTTCCTCAGCTACCTGCTTCCCTCTTCTCAATGAGCCATTTCACAACTGCTCAAAAGGAGTAGAGGACATGCCAGCTTTCATTTTCAGGGCCAGTTTACTCAATCTGACCTTCAATACCCAACATATATTAGAAAAATTCAAAGTCTGGTGCAGTGGCTACCTGCCACGGCCATGAGTGGATGAAATTTGCCGGCTAGCACTCCTCGTATAGGGCCGAGTGGCCACCACGAGAGTGGGCACTCCAGGGGAATGGCCTCTTCCACCCTGGTAGTGCTGAGTGCTGAGGCGTGGGTTACACAGCTCTGATAGCCAAACACAGTATTTTTGAGTGGGTTATAGCTACTTAAATATGGAGTGGGCAGTCAGGGGTGTAAACCTGCCTCGTCCAATGGGACTAAACCAAAAGGGGAGTACACAGATCATAATAACCAATAATAGCATGGCAGGGGTGGGCACAATCTCAAAGAACAAATAGACAAGCCAAACTGGGGTGATGGACACAGAAACTTCTCGAATAAACTGGGGGTGGTTACAGGATTGAAAGCTGGGGGGTGTTAGCAAACTCTGAGTGGCAGAACCAAACAAGGAAAGAGCAGGGATTGAGGAGATTGACAGATAACTGGGGAGCCACGTGGTGGGAATTTTTGGGGTAAACAACTTGAGCTAAACCAACTGTGAGAGAAAGAAATGGGGGAGTGCAAGGAGCATACCATTCTAACCTAACTAACATTAATAAAATAACTAACTCAATCAAACCCTTATGAATATAAAAACACACCACAACAGTCTGGGCTTTCACCAGTACTGCTGATGTTATCATGCAGAACTCATGCTGTCAGCTCTTTAGCTCATGCCTTTTCTGAAGCTGCTCCTCTTTCTCCTTTAAAAGGTTTCTTCTGTAAATGGGAGGAAAAAGACAAATTGCCCTTGGAATGGTGGAAAAAATAAGGTCTGGCTTCCTTGAAGACTTTTTCAGGATGCCAAGTCTATGTTTGAAAATGATGCATTGTAAGAGTTGTTTCATGCTAGGATGAGAGCATCCCAACAAGATGTGGTTGTCATAGCTCAGCTTTGTGCAGCTATTGGAAATAAGTTTGGAAATAAAGAACCAGTCAAGATTTTCTCAACTCCTTCAACAAAATTGCTAAAAGCAGACTACATTTCAGCCAAAGGGAAACAAAAACAAATTAAAGAAGGACAGAGAGGGAAACCGAGTAGATACTAAAGAACTACTTCTATACACCTTCTTCTATGGGCTGGATCTTTTTTCCCCTGTCTAGTTTTATAAACTGAGTGGATCTGTATAATCAGGTCAAGTACCTTAAAGCTTTTACCTTAAGCTTTTACAATCCTTTGCACACTCTAGAAGTGAGTGTAACAAGGTCTACTCAGGTATAGATTATATTTTCTTCATCTCCTCAGTTCTTTTGATACTCTTATCAAATGCTGACAGCTCTGTGTTTTCTCTATTCTAATCAAATCTACAAAATTTACATTTAGTCATAACACTTGTATTTTACTCTAAGGCTAAAGCTAAGCCTAGAGGTTTCAATAATGAAGATAAATGGAGAACATCTGAACTTGAATGAACTATTGACCAGGCTGGCCAATCATGAGCACAAAGGAAAAAAGTAAGAATGAGAAGGAAATCTCTTAGCATAAAGTCATCTCACAATATTATTATCTTTTCAACCTACTACAAAACTAACAAAGTAATTAAAAATCAGTGGAATTGTGATTAATAGTCATAATTTTTCTACTGGTGTGCTGTAGAAGATGAATTTGAACCTGCAAGACCAATGATCACAGTTTCAAATGTAGCATGAACAAGGATATGCACCAATGCAACAGCATCCTTGTTTTTATGAGCCATATCCTTGTGACTTTCCCATGTGGAAAAAGGTACACAGATGCTAAAATTGTAGAAGCAGTCAAGAGCCTGTACAGTCCTGTAGCCACCACAGGACTGTAACAGACATCCACAATGTGAGGTCCAAAATAGATACCAAATGCCAAGCTTAATAATTGTTATTTTTCTTGAAACAGTGTTTTTGGATGTTATGTTACTGGTGACTAGTTGTAAAATTTTTATGGACAAGAGAAAGTTGTCTTCTCATGTTTTCAAACTATTTTGATTGTTGACTAATAACCATATAAATTTGATGCATTAAAGTGCAACTAATATAATAATAAAAGAAATGCTTTGTTTGTTGCTTATCTTTAGCTTATGAAAAGATATAATTGTAGGCACACATTGTTTACCTTCCAGGCATTTGGAAAGCAAGTGAATAGTGAGAGGATGTTAGAGAAATGCTACGCTGCTTTATGACAGCCTTTATGAGGACAGGCAGATGTGATGGACAGATGGGTGGACTAACAGAACTAAATGCGTTATTAGCTGCTCAGACATTTGTTGAATGTCAGCCAAAACTACTGAATCATAGTAATTGACCATTGTTAAACATATCCTGTGGGGAGAACAACTACATGCATTACAAAAATGCGTAACATTCTGGTTAAGGTACAGAGACAGGAAAATGAATGTGCCAGCTCATATAAACCACATCATAAAGAGTTGAAAAAGTTTGCTTTTAAAATATCTGTGTGAGTTTCCATTAATCTGCCTACTTAATATAATTCTGTTTTAAAAGCATTTATATACTGAGTTCCTCCTTCTACAAATCAAGAAAAACATTTAAAATATCTGGAATTTTTTATTATGCCCTTCAATCAAATAGTTAAAAACTTTTGAAATACGGCTCTTATCATTGGTTAAGGCTCTAAAATTTATTTTTATTTCTCACTGAAATGCAGACACCACAAATGGAATACTGTATATGTCTAACAGTATTCAGTACAGGGCTGTTCCTTGTAAAGTGTTAAATCTTACTGTTTTGTCCTCTGGTATCTGCTGATGGATGAATTAAATTACTAACTATATTTACAGAATAAATAAAAATATATTTTTGTCCTGACCTCCTTAAAATTAAACTGCACCTCACTAATATGCAGAGACTAATTGGAAAAGGACTGTAGCACCTCTGAAGGAGGTCATAGTGTGAATCACAGCACAACAGTGAGTAATACTCGGGAAGAAAAAAATGATCTGCCTTCTAACATGACAAGAATGATTTGCAGATAATAATAGAGGGAGTAAAGGCCAGTCTTTTCAGTTACCCTTGGCTTCACCTAGGACAAAATAAAAAATCACTTCAGTTGCTGTGAGCTACTTGCCTATTTCCCAATCATTATTGCTTAGTTATAACTTAGTGATAAAATCTGTCATTACTGACTTTATTGACATTAAAGTTGATTTATTTGCATGCCTGGTGAATAAGAACTGCATTATGCTGGCTTTCAGATTGCTTGCGTACTCAAGATAGTAAGTGCATCACTGACTTAATTGTCTTTTGCTGGTTCACTTGCTCTCTAATCTCAATTTGAAAATAATATTGGGTCAAATTCAACCTTGGCATAAGTCCACTGACTTCAGTGGTAGTTCTCTAGAGAAGAATTTGATCCAGAAGAATCTGAACTGTCTATATTATAAAGCTTTTATTTCCTGCTATTGTATAATGTGTTAGTCAGAAAACAAGACTTTTTCTTCTGAAAATGATCTCATTTATTCTGTTGGTTGAGTATGGACTCGTCTTCCTCTATTTTAGGGTCCTTATATTAAAAATTTTAGCATTTCCTCCTAATTTTCCTGTGGTGTATACTTATGGTTGAAGAAAAAGAAACTAAATACCAAATGAGAAAAACAAATGATGAAAAAGCAAGATTTAATTCTTCACATAACCAAATATTTCTAATCAGCTATACCAGGGAAAAAAAAAAAAAAGTTTTTTTAATCTTTTTTACTCTTTTTCCAATAGTTTCCTTTTACTTTCTGGAGAGTTCTTTAAAAATGTATTTTGGTTTATAGTAATCTATACAGCTATTTACTACACCTATGTTCAGCATATTTGAGCAAGGCAAAAACTGGGAAAAATTATTTGCATTTCAAGATTTGGTATGGTATCCCAGTTTTGGACTTTCAGCCAGCCTTTCTGAGATGCAACTATTCAAACTACTCACCTTAACTTGGACTTTAGTGTTAACACAGATGACATTGACCACAAGTACTTGAAATAACTGAACTCTCATGAGTAGCTGAAAGAACAACCAGAAAACAAAACTTATAAATTATCTATATTAAGAATACCCAGAAACCAGTCAGTCAAACATGCAAATAGAAATTCAAGCTGAATCATAGCAGCTTTTTGAAAATAGCTTGAAATTTCAGATCCAAAAATATCTATCTACTACAGTGTGTTCAGTGATAGAAATGGTAACATTTTGACCTTCAAATTAATACTTTCTTGAGTATTTGCAAAAAGTAAATGTGAAATTACGCATAGAAGTATGTTTAAAATGGAACACTGTGACTTGAATGCATGGAGTGTTTGTTTAAAGATTTTCAGTATTAATAAAAAAATTTGTTCAATGATAAAAAATAAAAATGCCTCTGCATTGCAGAGGAATTTACTTCATT